TTTCCTGTACCCGGCCGGACTGACAGGAAGTGCACACTGAGTGTGCACCTTCCTATTACTCCGGCCGGGTACCGCGGACCGGAGAAGAGCTCGGCCACCCTACAGGGAAGGGGAGGGGAGGTGAGGAGAGAAGCAGTGCTGCAGCCACCTGAGGCTCTTTACAGAGCGCTCAGACGGCTGCAGCATTGGGATCGCCCCTGCAGCGGCCGGTTTTAAAATAATTTAGGGCGGCCTGGGGGGCAATTGCCTCCCTGCCCCCCGTCCCAGCCCGCCTGCCCCTGCTGTTGATGTACGTTGCGCTGCTTGGTTAAAAAAAACAGCTCTTCTTTGGTCTCAGAGGACCGAAATAAAAAAATGTCTTTCCAAATGTCAATCATTCGAAATTGAGACTGTCTTTAAACTGTCTAAGACATAATTGCTAAATGCAAACATATCTGAATATTCCTGCCGTGTCCAATGAAAGATTTAGCAATAACTATTAAGTATATAATTGACATGTTTTTCGAAAGTAATTCTGCAAATTGTAGTCGTTACCATTTTAAGTGGCAAGCCAATTAATAGATTGTATAGATCACAACATTTATACAGAATCATTTTTGTTTTCAATTTATTTTGATAATGAGCACTACAGGAGAGCTAGTAAGTAATCAACAAATAAAGAAATATGAGCTGTCCCAAAGATATAATGCTTACAAGGTCTGACATCTCCCCTGCTGGGATCAAAATGCCAATTTAAAATATCAATTTAAAATCAGCAGCTTCACTACAAATGTTAATGCATGTTAGGTTGAATGTTGATGATTTAACATCTCAACTGCATTAAGCAAGATAGGAGCAAAACAAAAGCATTTTAGAAAAAGGCCCAGAATAACTGGTTTTCGGATATTGCTTTTTATTTGCTGAGCAACCACCTTTATCAGTAATGACTAACCTTGACATTAAAACTGTGAACCACATTGTTATCTTTGCTCTGTGTGATGATAAAACCAGACAATATTTTTATCTGGGATCAATCTAGGATAGGAGAAGGTGATGGTTGAGCATAATGAAAATATAGTTTATTCATCTCGGCAATGTTAGTGTTAGCTATCTCTGCTACACATGATGATGAAACAAGACAAAATATTTTTCAATTTGAAGAGCACAAGGCACAGAGCATGCCATGGCAGATTGAATGTCACAGGGAATTTAATTTGTAATCACTGTAATACCAAGGTTATCAATGCTTTCTCAATGTAGTTATGAATTGAAGTATGTTTGGCAATACTCAATAGATGACATTGCTTAGAGAGTTACAGCTGGTTGAAGATCATGAAATATGTGATCTGTAAGCTCCTGCTGTTTTATTCTATATGATCATGAAAGAAAAAAAGATATCTACTGAATTTAACAAAGCAAGCTTTATAGGCATTGAATTCCATATATTTTTACTTTATTCAGCTATATGCAAAACTCAATGACACAATTTGCATGGATAGGTTGAGTTTAATGATCAGCATGTGAAATATGTAAGTAAAGTGCTAAATGCTAAGAGTTGTTCTATAGGTTTCCATATTAATTGCTCATTGTCTAATTATTTGCCTCAGAAAAGCCACTGTTTAACCTTGACACATTTCTTTTACAGTTTAAAGGGGCACTATAGGCACCCATACCGCTTTTTCTCATTAAAGTGGTCTTGGTGAAATGCCCCTGTTCTCCTAACCCTTTAGTGTAAAACGCTGGCATTTCATAAACTGCAATATTTACATTGCAGGGTTAAGAAAGCCTCTAGTGGCTGTCTACCAGATAGCCACTGGAGGAGCTTCCTGGTTTCTCACAGAGTTTAACTCTGTAAAAAGACATTTCAAAATACCCAAAGGAAAGCATTATATGCTTTCCTATGGGGAAACTCTAATGCATGTGAGTTACTTGCCATGCATGCGCATTAGGTTCCTCCATCTGAATGTCGATAGCGAAGGAGAGAGATCCAGCACAGAGGGACCTTGATACTGGAATAAGGTAATGTTAAAAGGGCTTTTAGCATTTCATGTGTAGGGTGGGTACCTAAAGTGATAGGGGCACGGGAATATTAAAGCATTAGAAATAACGTTTTGTATCACTAATGCTATAGGGTTCTCTTAAAAACTTAAACAGTGACAAGTTTGGCAAACACAGATTTTTTAAAATTATTAAATGAGACAAAATGTTTGCCAAATTCCATAGCAAAAGGTGAATTGGACGTTTATAGTTGTCAGTTTATTACAATATACAGTTTGAATGAACAAATGATAAAATTAAAAAAAAAGTTCTCAAAAACACTGCAAGTTTACAACCATTCAGCAGCTGGGCCAGGTTCACATATTGGAAGCTCCAGGCCCAGGCTTTAAAGTAGGCCCAAAATATCCACAATATAGGTTCAGTTACTTATTGTCAAATAGGTTGCTGTCACTACAGCGGAACTCCACTTGTATCAGCTTAGTTTTTTTATTTGCTGATGACCTCCCATTATTCATACTGTACTGTGCACAAAGGCTGGAATTTCATGTCTTGTACATAGACTCAAAGCTAGATATGTGACATCAGAACCACATAGGAGAGAGACTACATAGGGCATGCATATTTTCTTTATGTCAATCTAAAATCTCTAACTACTATGCCCATGAAAATGTAAATTCAGATTCTCTCATTAAAGGGACACTATACTCACCAAAACAACATTAGCTTATGAAGCGGTTTTGGTGGATAGATTATGCCCCTACAGTTTCACTGCTTAATTCTCTGCCATCTAGGAGCTAAATCACTTTGTTTATACAGTCCTAGTTACACCCTCCTGCATGTGACTTACACAGCCCTCCTAAACACTTCCTGTAAAGAGTCAGCTAATGTTTATACTTCCTTTATTGCAAATTCTGTTTAATTTAGTATTTCTTATCTCCTGCACTGCCAATAGCTTGCTATACCTTGCAGGATCATCCTCTGTGTGATTAAAGTTCAATTCAAAGAGCAGGAGATACAAACCTCTGAAGCAGGTTAACATGTGATTGAAAATGAAACAGTTTTTTCATGCAGTCTATGTCAGTCACAGCAATGGGAGGTGAGGTTAGGGCTGAATAAACTAAAACAAAAGGGATTTAACTCCTAAATGGTAGATAATTGAGAAGTGAGACTGCATGGGGCATGATGTATACACAAAAACTGCTTTGTACAAACTTGTGAATTATGGAGTATCTGTAAAAATTGCATGACAGGTGCATAGTCGCCATATGGGCAGGTGGAACCAAAACAAAACCCCACATACCCAACCCAAGAAGACACAGACAGTAAATTATATGGGTCAAAATTGTCCACAGCTTTATTAATAAATTAACATTGAAAAAGTCATTGCCCCAAACCCCACATACCACATCCATATTCCCACAGTTAGATATAAAACGTTAATGACCCATATATAAACAAATAAAATATAACAGTATTTCAACATGAACATAATTTAAAATACCAACATTTTATTAACTATGGTAGGGGTATACCCGGATACGCCACCAGGTTCTGAGCCACCGTCAAGCTTAAAATCTACCAAGAACCATATTAACCATTTCCAAAAAACATTCTAAAGAAGAGCCTATTTCCTATCCTTCAACTCCCTATCCTGCTGCTGTGACAAAACGGGACAACCCAGCCAACTAAATCCAGGGAGGGACAAACTCAGGCAGATAGGCAAGTTAAAGGGGATTTTTCTAAGATGGCTGTCTATTGATATAGCTCGCCCCATAACCCTCTAACTCACCAATCCCTACATAGCCTCCTCCTATGCCCTGTCAAGTCCCCTTTCCACTAAGCTGTGCTTTTTTTACATGGGGCTACAAAACTATTTGTAAATGGATAATAAAAAAAAATCTATCCCTAAAATATTTATATGGTACAGGGTTATTCACTGAATTGAGAATTGTTGGGGAGTGTGAAATCTAGTGAATTTCTTTCTTTACTTAATATACAGCAGCAAAGAACAACCAATAAGAAAAAAGAATGCAAATATGAGACCTCCCAAACTCCACCCCCTCATAAGCAGCCATCCCTATAATCCAGAATCACATCCTTCAACTTACTCTTTCTTTGCTGCGCCCTTGGATGCAAGTTTAGTGCAGTCTACCTCCCTTGTGTTTTATCTATGTATACATTTATATGCATTGTTTCTCTCACCCTTCATGTCTTGTGCCCTTCTGGGCCTTTAATTTCTTTCCCTGTACCCTTTACAACTACAGTTTTTCCCCTTGAGCATTTATTTATCATTTTCCCCACCAGATCATAACCCCTTCTGGTTCTGTGGTTCCTGACCTGTTTGTGCTGGATACAGGTAAATAAAATATAAAATATAAAATAATGGTAGGATAAAAATATGCAGTAAAAAATACAATAAGAATGTGTGAAACAAAGTCCGTGCACTAGTAGTGATAAAACTTAAAAAGTCCAATAACATGCATAAAAGACGTCTCACTGATATGTGGATGAGCTGTATATGTACAGTCCTCAAAGGTTAATCCTTCCGAATTTCCAGGGAATCCGTATATGAAAGATAAAAACATAAACACACTTCCAATGGTATAGTATGTATTGAGAGGATTAGAAATTGAATAAAATGGAGGATAATAAACTCACATTTGTTGGAGCTTAGGACCAGCTCTTAGTTGTAAGGCACTTAGCGGTATAATCCCCGCTAATGGATATTCTGTGAGGATAGGTCACTCCGTCCGGCTTTGGTTTCGTAGGATTTCGCATGGTATATAAAAACAAATATAGTGCTCTCAGTAGGAAGGGAAAACATAAAATAAAATAAAATAAGTTATACTCACAATGATAGAGCAGGGAGTACTGCTCTATTTATAATGCGCCGGTGGAATAATTCCCACCTGTGGATTGCTTTAAGCAGGAACAGTTAGATGCCAGGAGAAAAATAAAAAATAGTGTTTATACAATAAAACAAAAATGGTCCTATAAATAAGGGTACCAAATAAAAGTTTTTATTGTTAAAATACACAGTAAAAAACCATTTGATGCGTTTCACCTCATGGGCTTTATCAAAAATGGCTATTTTTGATAAAGCCCATGAGGTGAAACGCGTCAAATGGTTTTTTACTGTGTATTTTAACAATAAAAACTTTTATTTGGTACCCTTATTTATAGGACCATTTTTTATTTTTTTTTAACACACTACTCTTAGATTTGCCACCTGACTGGTATTTTAAGGCGCAGGCGGTATTTGAGGCTGCCTGACCGTGACGGTATTGCAGTAATACTGGCAATACAAATGCAAATATTTTTCTCAGTATAAAATGAGATAACTCTGCAATACCAGCACCGGCCAGTAGGGGGTCACTGTGTATGGAGAGAGGCAGGGATAGGAAGTTACAGCATCTCCCTGCCTCTCTCTACTCACTGATCTGCTGGGGGAGCTGCTACACAGCACAGAGAGTCCAGATAGCAGCTCCCATCCTGCAGAGACAGGCTACAGCTCAGGTATGTGAAGAATGGGGGGAAAGGCAGCAGGGAGACATGGGGACACTGAGACACTAGGGGACATTGGGAGACATGGGGACACTGAGACACTTGGGGACACTGTGAGACATGGGGATGCTGAGACACATGGGGACGCTGTGAGACATAGGGAGACACATTGGGACACAGAGACACTAGGGACACAGTGTATCCCAGTGTCTCCATGTCTCCCATCCAGTGTCCCCATGTCTCTGTGTCCCAATGTCTCTCAGCCAGTGTCTGTGTCCCCATGTCTCCCAGTGTCCCCTAATCTCCCAGTGTCTGTGTCCCCATGTCTCTGTGTCCCCATGTCTCCCAGCCAGTGTCTGTGTCCCTATGTCTCCCAGTGTCCCTAGTGTCTCAGTGTCCCCATGTCTCCACTCCCAGTGTCTGTGCCCCCATGTCTCTGTGTCCCCCATGTCTTCTTATGTCTCTGTGTCCCTAGTGTCCCCATGTCTCTCAAATATTTCAGTGTCCCCATGTCTATGGCCACAAGTGCCCCCATGTCTCCCAGTGCCCCCATGTCTCCCAGTGTCCCCAAGTGTCTCAGTGACCCCGGGTCTCTCAGTGTCCCCATGTCTCTTAGTGTCCCCTACTAACCTAGTGACACGGGACACGCTGAGACATGGGGACACTGGAAGAAATGGGGACACAGACACTGGGAGACTAGGGGACTGGGCGACATGGGGACACTGACACTGTGTTACATAGGGACACTGATGCCAGGCTGGACTTCCAATTCTTTAGACAGACATGCCCCTTTTTGGGCATGTTCACCCCTTTTGGCAGTTCTGGTCACGTGATTCACATCAGTGGCCCACTCTTTTACTCTGCCCATTGACTTCCTGCTTCACTGGACACTTTTGCTAGGGGGTATGGATTAACTTGAAAGATAAAAAAACATAAATTAGATAGAGAGATTTGCATAGAGTATGTGTTTTCTAGCTGCAGCCTTTGAGTTTCCCTCCAACACTGTCTCCATCAGATACATGACGCTTGAAAGGTATGACTGTTTTAGTGTTTTTGGTCGATAAGACTCTGTAATTAGGCCCCATCATAATTGTCAGCACAAGGCCCACTGGGCTCTTAATCTGGCCCTGGTTATGGCCCTATTGCAGATCAGAGGTGTCAGGCTGATGTTGTACCTGGACGATATCCTCATTCTGTCAGAGGATAAAGCTGCCGTCAGGCTCCATCATAAATTGGGAGAAGTTGCAGATGACTCCCATGAGGAGGATGGAATTTCTAGGATTGCTGATCAACTCATTGGACTAGACCCTGAGTCTGCCTGCCTCCAAGGTTCACCCCATCTGCAGGGAGATTCAACAGACTCTGTCTCGCAGTTGAATATCCCTGCAGCAGTTGGTTTGGGTGATTGGCCTCCTGATAGGGCCATTTTAGGAGATATTTCTGGGACCCCTGCACTACCGTGCCTTTAATCTGCACTGGATCCTCTTGTACAGGCATTACATCACTAGAGACATGAAGACGAGGTCCGAACTCCATTGGTGGATCTTGAATCTGGACATCTGGAATGGCAGATCATCTTTGGGCTCCAGTCAGAAGTGTCCATAGAGTCACATGCAAATTTTCACTGTCCGTCTCCACAGGCATTTGCTGATCCCTCATGGAGTCCCACATGCAAGTCAACTGTTTGCAGTTGCTGGCAAGTTCCTTTGCCTTTTAGGAGTTTTCTGATGGTTGCCCTCGTGGATGATGTAATGGCTGTCTGATACATCAACCCCCTGGGTGGGACAAACATGGCAGACTTTTGGAATTTCTGTTTGGCTTGAGTGGAATACATGCCTGACGTCTCCTACGTCATGGCCAACTGGAATCTCAATTCTTCTGTGTTTCTCTCCATTCTCATGCTGTGGGGTCTGCTAAACCGGGACATGTTCGCTGCTCACTACAGCTGGTAACTGCCCCTTTTCTTCAGATGGTGCCTGGACCCGGACTCTTTGGCGGTGGATGCTTTTCTTCAGGATTTGATTGGGGCTCGCCACTATGCCTTTCCCCCATTCTCCATGCTGCCCAGCAAGCTTCTTCAGGTCTGTTCTCAATGGGCAACTTTTCTTCTCATGGCCCCTTCTGGCTGGACCCTCAGGTCCTGGAATTGGCCATCAAGGTTCCCAGGCTGCTTGGGCTGGACCCTCTTATCTTTCTGGATCCTGACAGCTATACACACAATCTGGTGCTCGAAGGGTGGCTCCCGCCGTTGGCATGGCTGACTTTAGGGGACCGTAGAATGTCCTGGGACTCTGCTAGACACCTTCTGGTGGGTTCAGTGGCCACCTGTACTAGGGCCATTTACTGCTTAGCCTGGGGCATCTGGGCTGGCTGGTGCGTGGCTTGAAACCTGGATCCCATTTCAGAACCTGTGATTAAGATTCTCCAGTTCCTCAGGAGTCCTGGCCTCCAAATGCAGAGCTGTTGCTTTTTATCACTTGTCTGGTAAACTAGTGACTTTATTTTGCCTGGTGTCATGCAAGCGTGTGTCCAACGTTCGGGCTCTGGAACGGGCCCGAGCCTTTACTCCGGGAGGTGTGGAGTTTGATATCTACAGGTGCACTAAGACCTCCTGCCAGTCTGTGTTTTACCCTGCACTCCACAATTTAAGAGATATATAGAGAATATTCAATTTTTATGATCTAGATTATACATGTTACTCTAAAACATATAACTCTTATTCTAGAATCGACCTCATACTGGGAAACGTGAGCATGCTGTATCTTGTTAAAAGAATAGAAATACAAGATATAATTTGGTCAGACCATAGTCCAATAGTGTTAGAATACAAAGATACCTTTGACATCTTCTGTAAAGATTGGCTTTTGAGGGGGAGCCACTAATGTTTGAAAACATTTCTCTTACGTTCTACCAAGATCTCACAAAGGCCACACTCCTTCAATGCAAAGCATTTGGCACTGTCACTGCCCAACTCCGGGCAGCAAATCTGGCCTACAAGTGGGGAGCAAACTGTACAGTCATAGTCACTCGAGATGGGACTACCCATACCCTAGCAACAATGAGTGAGGCACCAACATTTTTACGTAACCTGGGGATATCCACTCCAAACCCTGAGACAACTGGAACTGTGCCAACAGGACTATGGGACCCAGCCACGGTGGTTCCCTTCGTCCCAAGTGAACCTAAACCGCAGAGGGCAACCCCATGACTCAAGAAAGAGGCACACTGCGGCCCGAGCAATGGGACAATTAGAGGGTTTGCAAAAACTTGCGAACAAAATAAGAGCCTACTAATTTCAGGATTTTTATCTTAATTTACCTTTTTTAGGCAAAACGGACAAAAGATATTTGTGCTCTCCTTTTTCGTTGTACCTTTTATATACCTTGGGTTTTTTTTTTCCATAACGAATGTTTTACCAGTTATGTTACACACTCACCTTATCCAATGCTCTCAGCGTTAGAAACGACACCAACACCACAATATACAAGGCCAATAACTAAGCGCAGCTACTCACACCTTCACTGCAACCAGCTGGCGTCCTCCAGCCCAATTCTCCCACCCCGGTGGCCCCCTTGGTTAGGGGCACCCACCCCGCATGGCAGGGGCCTACCCTCAAAGCACCGTCTGACCAAACTGAGGCACAACCCAGTCTCTCACGACATACACTCAGCTACACGACACAAGGCACCTACACATCTCGCTCACAATCTTGACTGACCCACGTTCATCTCACGTTAAATGCCTTCTGATAGCTTGCCACACTACACACTTACCTCGCCACTAAAGAGGCATATATACGCTGACACACTAAGGACAGATCCGGTCTACCAAACTGTACACAAGAAGATCTCCAAGGCATGTAAAATCTCTATCCTGTCCAATGTTTTAACATGTTATATATTACCAAAAATTGGTGCGTTATCTTTGACAAATATATCCTGCATATATTTACCTACATCTATTGTAACCCTGTCACATGTTACCATTGTGAACTTCTATGCACCTCAAAAATAAAGAATTAAAAAAATTTAAAAAAAAGATTGGCATTTGGGAGACTATATATTACAGTAAAACAATAACGTTGAAGAGATTAAGAAAATAACTATTTTTTTTTTTAGAAAACAAGAATAAAGATACACATTAGACATTATGATCTGGTACGCGTACAAAAGTGTATTTAGAGGTCATATGATAAAAATGACAACTATCGAAAAAGAAAAAAAAAGCACCACCCCTCCAGGAATTATATATAAAACTAAGTGACTATAAAAAACTGAATAAATGAACACCTTCTACACAAACAGCAATTAAGATTGCAGAAATAGAAAAGCAGATAAATAATCAGCTAACAAACAGAGCAGCCAAAATGCTAAAACTATTCCAAGTCAAGTGGTATCTAAAAGGTAATAAACCAGAAGCATTAATGACCAATAAATTGAAAAAGGAAATGTACAAAAGAGTAATATATAAAATTATGGAAAAAGAAACTTATGTTATGGCTAAGAAAAAATAGGTAGTGCATTTGAACAATTCTACCGAGATTTGTATAATTTGTATAATTTACCAGAAGAACAATATGGGAGGGAAGAAGAAATTGAGAAATTCTGGACAGCTTCACAAATACATTTTACAAATG